CACAGCAACCTCCAACTCCTGGGCTCAAGCGAGTCTCCTGCCTCCGCCTCCCAAGTAGCTGGGACCACAGGCACCCGCCACAGCGCCCGGCTATTTTTTGGTTGCAGCCGTCATTGTTGTTTGGCGGGTCCGGGAAAATACTATTAATTAAAAGGGAATATTAAATTTTATTTTACTATGGTATAAAGGTATCAAGTTGTTGCAAAATCATTTGTTGTAATGATCATCCTTTTCCCACTGAATTATTAGGGAATAATAATTTGTAAAAAAATCACTTTATCACTGTTGTGCATTTCTGTTTCAGATAGAACCTAGTCCAGGAATTATGCTACTGTCACATTTTCTTAAGCACTATTGTTTTTGTTCTGCTTTGATGTATAACACCCACCTTTTGCATACCTTCACTAGCTTATTAAAGATGCTCTGTACCACTCAAACTGATTATCATCTAGGGAGCTAGCGTTCCATAGGGGAAAAAAAAGTCTTTCAAGGAGCATAAACTTTCATTACAGAATTTTCAAAACAACTCAAAAGTGACATCATGTGATTACCGCCCAAAGTTTAGAAGCTATGGAACTTAACACCATCATTGTGAGTTAAAAATGTACCCTGAGAATATGAAACATACCACAATATATAATATATTAAAAAGGGGAGGGGGTCAGGTACAGTGACTCACACCTGTAATCCTAGCACTCTGGGAGGCCCAGGTGGGTGGACTGTTTGAACTCACGAGTTCGAGACCATCCTGAGCAAAAGCAAGACCTCATCTCTGCTAAAAACAGAAGGCAAGAAGATTGCTTGAGCCCAAGGGTTGGAGGTTGCTGTGAGCTATGATGCCACAAGCTTTCTAACCAGGGTGACAGCTTGAGATTTTGACTCAAGAAGGGGGAGGTAGGGAGATAAAAATGAAAATAAAAGCTGATGGACTAAATTCTTTTTCCTCTTCCTCTATTCACAAATGTAAAACTTTTTTTTTTTTAAATTTTGCTTTCAATTTCAACTGGCTTTCACTCATCTTAGTTCGAAGGCCCCCCACTCCCTACTTTTCTTCCTTTAGCAATTCTCTTGCCCTTTGCCTCCCAAGAAGCTGGGACTACAGGCACCCACCACAACACCCGGCTTTTTTGGGTACAGACCGGTCTCACTCTGGCTCAGGATGGTCTCGAACCTCTGAGCTGAGGCAATCCACCTGCCTCAGCCTCCCACAGCTCTAGGACTACAGGTGCGAGCCACGCCAGGCCCACAAATGTAAAACTTTTTTAACCACTTGTCCTAAGACCTAGACTTGGTCCTTTTTCTTTGTGACTTTGCTTATCTTAATTCCCCAATGGTCTTCTTTTACCTTTCTGCCCTCTAACTCTGCTCATTTTTGGAAGTCTTGCCTGGGCTGAAGTAGTTACTCAGAAGCCTCCGCAGCCTATTCCAGTCCTGACCTTCCTTTTCCCAACTCCTAGTCTGGTCTTTACTTCCAAAATAGGCATATTTTGTTTTAGACTCTTCCCTCTCTTATATGTTTGTTTCATTATTTATTATATATATTAATAGCAACATATATTAGTTTATTAGTTCATTGGTTTTATACTTGTAGCTACATCATAGACATTATCTCCTTTTTTTGAGACAGAGTCTCAAGCTATTGCCCTTGGGTAGAGTGCTATTGTGTCACAGCTCATAGCAACCTCTAACTCTTGGGCTCAAGCAAGGCTCCTACCCCAGTTTTTCTATTTTTAGCAGAGATGAGGTCTAGCTTTTGCTCAGGATGGTCTTGAACTTGTAAGCTCAAGCAATGCACCTGCCTTGGCCTCCCAGAGTGCTAGAATTACAGGCATGAGCTACCCACCTGGCCCGTAGACATTATCTTATTATTTATTATATTCACTATAACACACTTTTGGGCATATAGCAGATATTTACTAAATTAATTAAGAGATAAAATTTATTAAAAAATAGATAAGATATAAAAGAGTAAACATAGACTGAGACTCCAAAATGCTACAGAATGGAGGAATACCTTTAGGTTTAGAACTTCTTAGTGTTCTTCCTCTGTCTTCCAATTTATCTGTTGTTCTTCCACTGGCGATTTTTTGGATCCCCTTCTCCCCAGCCACGTCAGGGCTGCCATCCGGTAATAACTTTTGAGCCTTTACGTTCAGCCTTGCAACATTCAACATCTTTAAGGAACGGCACATGGTATTCATCTTCTGCCTCACTGGAGTACAAGGGATACCTCCTTCCAAAACATCATTAGGGAAAGAACAGTAAATTACTTTTCACTTCGTGGAATCAAGAACTACTTTAATTCAGATTACTGTGAAGGAATATCAAAATGAAGTCTATCTCTTCAGAATGATCTGAACTAGTGAGCTCTTACATCTCTTTCTACCCCACACACAGGGTAGAAAGATAGCCCTTCTTTTAATCAAAGTTTAGGAACTAAACATCTTGATATGATTAGATGATTTTTTTCCCACAAGGCAAATAACAAACACATTCAGTTGAGTGTTATCCAATGGCCACAGAATTGCAATGAAACTATTCTGAAAGATAACTTAGGAATCTGCATTAAGAGCCATTTTCATGTTCCTTGACATAGTAACTTGTTCCTGGAAATTTATGCTAAGGAAATTACTGAAAGAACAAATTATATGCATGAAGCATACTGTAGTATTATAATGATAAAAACTGAAAACAATCTGAATGTTCATCAATAACAGAGAATTTTGTAAATTTTGTTAAGCAATGAGGTAGAACAATAACTAAAAAGGCAAGGTGGCAGATGAACAAATATTTTAAAGTAGAATATAAAGTTGTATTTAAATTTGTTACAATTAGAGATAATCATTAGGAAGGTAGGATTGTGGGTGATCTTTTTTAAAACACTGTCAGACTAACAATTACTTTTTTTTTTTTTTGAGGCAGAGCCTTTGTCGCCCTTGGTAGAGGGCCGTAGTGTCACAGCTCACAGCAACCTCCAGTTCTTGGGCTTAGGTGATTCTCTTGCCTCAGCTTCCCAAGCAGCTGGGACTACAGGCGCCCACCACAATGCCTGGCTATTTTTTGTTGCAGTTTGGCTGGGGCTGGGTTCAAACCTGCTACCCTCAGTATATGAGGCCCAGTGCCCTACTCACTGAGCCACAGGCGCCGCCCCTAACAATTACTTTTAAATTTGCAATATAATAATTTGCCCTTCTTCAGTTACCATTTTAACCTCATTTCAGGGAATGTCAATGTTTTAAAATAACAGTCTCAAAAGACTGCCTTAAGAAACAGCCTTTCTTAAGACTATATGCATACGTTTCTTTTTGCTGTCTTCTTGATTAGCTATAGTGGACTCTTCACGAGATTTTCGCTGGTAGAGCTCGGAAAGGTAATATGTTAATTCACTTTGGGTTTTGGAAGACTCTTCCTTATCAGCTGGAGCAGCCTGTAGTAACCTGTAAAGTCAAAATATCTAGGATAAAACCAAAATTCTAATTTTTCAAAATGCTTTAAAAATACAACAGCAAAGGCTCAGCGCCTGTGGCTCAAGTGGCTAAGGTGCCAGCCATATACACCTGAGCTGGCGGGTTTGAATCCAGCCAGAGCCCACCAAACAACGACTGCTGTAACCAAAAAATAGCCAGGCATTGTGGCAGGTGCCTGTAGTCCCAGCTATCTGGGAGGCTGAGGCAGGAGAATCACTTGAGCCCAGGAGTTGGAGGGAGCTGTGAGCTGTGATGCCTAGGTACTCTACCCAGGGGACCAGCTTGAGGCTCTGTCTCAAAATAAACAAACAACAACAAAAAAGAACAACAGCAAAAACTCCATTATCCTTTTAAAAGCTAATCAAAAGATATTTCCACAAGATATCTTCAAAAATATTTTCTTAGGAGGGAAAATGTCCTTCCTTTCCTTTTCAACTTGAACAAACTTAGGGGACACAGTTGCCTTGCTTACAAAACTATGAATTATTATACACAATATTGCTTTTTATTAATAGGATTCTTCATGAATTAGGGTACATGTCTAACTATGGCAACTATTTTACTTCTGGGCTTCCATAGTTTTTTTTACTCAGTTTCCATACACTAAAGTACAAAATCATGTAATACAGTGTAATAAGGATTACAGTGACTTCAGAATAATTCTTTCACATTGTAAGAAACTAATTTGAGATTGATAAGAAAATGAGGAAGTAGGGCAGGCAGGATGATTAGCTATTACATGCTTTTCTACCTAGAGCTAAATATCAATCACTAAGAAAATTATAACAATGGCACATTAAAAACGTATTATTTGTATTTCGATATCCTCCATTATCTAACATTATCTGACTAAAAAGGGAAAAAATTATAGTGACCTTAACTGTATAGATAGACGTTGGCTAGGCATAGTGGTTCAAGCCTGTAATCCAAGTACTTTGGGAGGCCCAGGGGGAAGGATCACTTGAGGCCAGGAGTTGAGGTATTACAGGTATCAGTTTCATACATATAGCCAGTTTGAGCAGATGAATTCTTCCTAAAAAATTTTTTTGGCCAGGTGTGGTGGCTCACGCCTATAATCCTAGCACTTTGGGAGGCTGAGTCAATTAAGCTATGATGATGCCATGGTACTCTAACCCATGGGGACAGGGTTAGAAAAAGTTTTTTTTTTTCTAACCCTCAAAAGGTTTTTTTTTCCCCCCTGAGACAGACTCTCACTCTGTCACCCCTGCTTGAGTACAGTGACATCATTGTAGCTTACTACAACCTGAAACTCCTGGGCTCAAGGAGTTCCTTAGTGTTACAGGCATATGTCAAGGTGGTTGGCTAATTTTTCTATTTTTTGTAAAGATGGAGTATCGCTCTTGCTCACGCTGGTCTTAAATGCCTGCCCTCAAGGGATCCTTCTGCCTCTGTCTCCCAGAGTATAAGGATTGCAAGCATGAGCCACCGCACCAGGAAGAACTTTCCTTTAACAGCGAGGAGGTTTTGTCTGTTTTTTGCAGTTAACTTTTAAAAATATATGGACATTAAAATTAGAAAATTATAGAGAGCAGCATGAAGTAGACAAGTATGTTATCTACCACTAAGATTAAATACTTGTTAATAGTTTGTTATATCTGCCTCAGATCTTTTCTTAAAGATCTTTTTTTAATTATTATAGACACAGCTAAAGTGCCACACTACCTCTTCTTCCCAGATACATTCCTAGATTTTTAACTTAAAGACACACACATAACAAACCAATGTAATTGTTATTTCAAACGTCCTAAATTTTACATAAATATGTATCACCTTTTTGCAATTTTATTTTTTTTTTGAGACAGAGTCTCACTTTGTCACCCTCGGTAAGGTGCTGTGGCATCACAGCTCACAGCAACCTCAAACTCTTGGGCTTAAGCGATTCTCTTGCCTCAGCCTCCCAAGTAGTTGGGACTATAGGCACTTCCAATAATGCCAGGCTATTTTTTGGTTGTAGTTGTCAGCGTTGTTTGGCAGGCCTGGGCTGGATTTGAATCCGCCAGCTCAGGTGTATGTGGTTAGCGCCCTAGCTGCTGAGCTATAGGCACTGAGCCTGCAGTTTTTATTATACTGGTTTTTCCAGAGTTTTCCATATGCATAGAAATAGCTCTAGCTTATTCTTTTTAACTAATCTATGTCTAATATTCTACTATTTGACTATACTGTATTTTATTTATTCTTTTCCCTTCTGAAGGCCAGTTGGTTCTTCCTACTTTTTTACTATTAATGAATATTACAGTATAGTTTTCTTGTGTTTATGCTAGAATTTCTTTAGTATAGATACTTAGAAATGTAATTGCTGGGCTTGGTGCCCATAGCACGGTGGTAATGGCGCCAACCACATACAAGGAGGGTGGCAGGTTCAAATCAACCCCCGGCAAGCTAAACAACTGCAACCAAAAAAAAAAAAAAAAAAAGCGGGGGTGTGGTGGCAGACGCTTGTAGTCTCAGCTGCTTGGGAGGCTGAGGCAAGAGAATCGCCTAAGCCTAAGAGTTGGAGGTTGCTATAAGCTGTGATACCATTGCACTCTACTGAGGGCATCATAGTGAGACTCTGTCTCAAGAAAAAAAATAATAATAATAATAAAAAGAAATGGAATTGCTGGGTATCAGAGTATGTGAAGAAATTTTCAAATCATTCTTTAAAATGGTTGAAAGCTCACATTTCCCTATGTGCTATTACCAGAACTATTAATTTTTGACTATCTAATAGATATAAAATAAATCTATTGGGTTTTTTCTTACTGTGGGTTTAATTTCTGGCTCCCTGAACGTAGTATCTTTTCAAATAATTGGCCTGTTAATTTCTTCTGTGTGAATTATTTTATTTGCATTCTTTGCTCAATTTTCAATTGAATCCCTTGTCTTATTGATTTTTAGAAGCTCTATACTAATTTGCATACTACTCCTTTGTTGCTTATATGGAATGTAGTTATACCCAAGTCTATGAATTACTTGTCTTCTTACTTTAATGATATAGACATTTAAAAGTTCATCATACTCAAATTTATCCGTTTTCTCCACTTTGGCTTGAATTTTCTTTTTTTTTTTTTTTTTTAAGACAGAGTCTCAAGCTGTTGCCTTGGGTAAAGTGCTGTGGCATCATAGCTCACAGCAACCTTAAACTCTTGGACTTCAGAGATTCTCTTGCCTCAGCCTCCCAAGTAGCTGGGACTACAGGTGCCCGCCACAACCCCCTAGTATTTTTTGGTTGTAGTTGTCATTGTTGTTTGGCATGCCCTGGCTCCAGTGTATGTGGCTGCCACCCTAGCTGCTGAGCTATAGGTGCTGAGCCAAGGTTAGAACTTTCTTATGTCTTGTTTTAAGAGCTCCATCTTTCTGAAACAACAGGATACTTTGGACTCAGGAGTTCAAGACCAGCCTAAACAAGAGATCCCCATCTCTACTAAAAGCAGAAAAATTAGCCAGGCTTTATGGCAGGTACCTGTAGTCCCAGCTACTTGGGAGGCTGAGGTAGGAGGATTGCTTCAAGCAATCCCGCTTGAACTCAGGAGTCTGAGGTTGCTGTGAGATAGCCTGACAACACGGCATTCCAGCCTGAGCAACAGAGTAAGACTATCTCAAACAAAACAAAACAAATCCGCCTAAACACTTTTATCCTCACTTTCATATTCTCTTAGATCTTTTTTCCTTCTAAGAATTTTAAAATTTTGCTTTTCATATGTAGTGTTTTAATTAGAAATGTATTATTAGGTATGCTATGAAGTGGAAATCTAATTTTTATATTTTTTTCTTACAGATAGCCAATTGTCACATCACTATTTACTGAAAATTCTATTCTTTCTCTGATTTATAATACCACTTTTGTTATATGCTGAGTTCCTATGTACGAGTCGGTCACTTTCTGGATTCTCTGTTCTCTTCTGTGGGTCTATTGTCTATCCTTGCACCAACGGCACACTGCTGTATTTACAATAGCCTTATCGCAACTTGATATCTCATAGGGGGAAGTGCACTTGTTTTTTTTTTTTAATTTTTGTTTTGAGGTACACTTGTTTTGCTATTGGTCCTTTATTCTTATTGATCTTTTGCTACATTTATTCTAAGTACCTTAACAATTTGTTAACATAAATAAATTATATCCTTTTCTGTAAATAATTTCTAGCTGCTGTTGGCATATTATTGACTTTATAATTTTTGCATCTACTAATATTACTGAATTTTCTTAGAAGTTTAATCATTTGCCTGTAGAATACTTTGGATTTTCTATAAAGAATCACCCTCCTTCAAAAACTTCACTATTTATACCTCATAAAAATACTTAAGAGATTGGCAAGGTGAAGTGGCTCACACCTGTAATACTAGCATTCTGAGAGGTCAAGGTGGGAGGATCACCTGAGCAAGAGTGAGATTCCACCTCTACCCAAAACAGAAAAAAATTAGCTGGGCATTAGTGGCCAGTGCCTATAGTACCAGCTACTTGGGAGGCTGAAGCAAGAGGATTGCTTGAGCCCAGCAGTTTGAGGTTTCTGTGAGCTAGGTTGATACCATGGCACTCTGGCCTGGGTGACTGTTTTAAAAAAAAGTAAAAGATAATTTTAAAAAATACTGTGGGCCAGATCTGTTCATAAAACACTGAGGGAGATTAAAGAAAGACCTAAATAAATGGAGACATGTACTATGTTCATGGATTAGAGAATTAGATGATTCAACGTTAAGATGACAATTCTTCCCAAATTAATTTATCTACGATTCAATTCATTACTAGTCCAAGATCCAACAGCTTTTTGGGGGAAATTGACAAGCTGATTCTAGAATTTATATGAAAATGCAAAAGTTTAGAATAATCAAAGCAATTCTAAAAAAAACAAAAAACAAACTTAAGAGGACCTCCTGAGCTCTTCCAAAGTTATAATATGTGATAGTGGCATAATGCAATATTGAAGACAATGTGATATTAATATAGTTTCTGGCCTCTATTCTGTCTAGAAATGCACAACGGTGGTCAATTGATTTTTAACAAACGTATGTCAGTAATCCAATGGGAAAAGGATTGTCTTTCAACAAATGGTGTTGGAACAACCAAATATCTGTGTGAAAAAAAAAAAGCTCAACTTTATCTCTTAATAATAGTTTGATTTTGTTTTATCTTTTACATTTCTAATATTATTTGTCTTTTTTTTTAAAAAATTGATCAATCTTGCTATAGATTATTTTTTTTTTTTTTTTGAGACAGAGCCTCAAGCTGTCCCCCTGGGTAGAGTGCCGTGGCATTACAGCTCACAGCAACCTCCAACTCCTGG